CTCAATTTAAAGGAATGGGAGTGGGACTAGAATTTAGAATTAATTCTGAAAGATATTTAGACTTAATGATGTACTGAATGTGGTCAAGAACAGACAGGAAATCAAGTTAAGAGTTCTATCTGGGGCAAGAGAAGTGGATACTGGCAAAAGAGGAGAGGAAAGATGAGTTTATAAGCAAGAGTTTAGGTAGGAAAAAGGAGATAATGAAATTCAGACATGTTACACTTGGAAGTATTTGTTAAATGTGTATGAGGCTTAAGAATTGAGACTCAGAGAAAAATGGTAATTGAAACAAGGATGAATAAGATTTTTTAGGCAAACACAAAAAACAGGCTAAAAATTTTTAATATTTATCTGGCATTCAAAATTATAGTTATATATTCCTAATAATCTATATAGATTTCAGAATACGAAGTACTAAGTTAGCCAGGTACCAATGGTTCATGCCTGTAATCCTAGCTACTCAGAAGGCTGAGAACTAGAGAACTAAGCTTTGAAGCTAGCCCTGGCAAAAAAAAAAAAGACCATAAAATTCCATCTGTAATTAACTAGCAAATTGCCACACTGGAGATGTGGTTCAAGTGGTAGAGCACCAGCCTTGAGTAAGTAAGCCAAGTGAGAGTGTGAGGCATTAAATTCAACCCCTCAAACTGGCAGAAAAGAAAAGCACTAGATTTTTGTAGTAGTAACTTATAGAATAGAAAAATAAGAATTAAAATAACTCCTAGGCAGTAGAGCCGAGCTCAGGACATTAACCTCCCTTAATAATGGAGATGAGGGGGAAAATATCCCCAAATCAAACCTCCATGTTCATGGCACACTAGCAATCCTTGCTCCCACCCATTAGCTGTTACTTCTGAAGAGCCTGAACAAAGGATCGAGCCCCCCTGTGAGAGGTATTATTTGAAGTTGTATGAAGAGCAGCATCCTTGTTTCAGATATGGGTAAGCCATGCCTGAGGAGTGTAGGACATAATTCCCAACCCCAGGAGAAGGGGCTGGTTCAATGGGCCTCAAAAGAGTAGGTTAGAGTTCAGGGGAAGGCTTCAGTCCCAGTGGAGCAAATAGGTTGCAAATCAGTGAAAATAGTCAAAGGAAGGGTGAGGGGAAAATTCTGCTTATGGGTACTGGCAGTTCAACCAGGATCTAGGAATAGAGCTTGAGAGGAATTGTACATTTCATCTTCCTTTGTGAATGGGATTCTGATAAGCATGATCAGGATAGGCTTGAGAATCAGGAAGTATTGCTCTTACAATTGAAAACCTCTGGAAAAGAGAAAGGAGTGGACATTTTTCAGTTGTACATCTTCACTCTTGTAATCCTTAAAAATCCAAAAAAATGACATTTACTTAGAATTCATGGTCCTCACTTCTCCAGTCATCCATCTCTCATTAGCATAGAGTCCCAATGCATGCACTTGCGTGTGCACGTGCGCACACACATACATATATGTATATACATATACATACACACACACACACTCATATATATTCTCTTCTGAACTACCAGGAGGCACACAAGCAATGTGCAATAATGAGTATACCCAAGCACTGTAACTGTCCCCGGCGGCATTCCCTTCCCCCCCCCCCCGCCCACACTGTCACTGTTGGACTCCTAAGGACATCTTGGTGTAGTTGCTGCCCATTCTGCCCTATTCACACTTACTATCTCATACCTGGATCTCTGTGCTTGCTTACCTTTGGGTCCTTAGCTTCACAAAAGTCAGCAGACTGTTTTGACAACTGCAACAATAACAATACCAGCAACTGCATTTCTTGAGTGCTTGGTAGACAGATACTTGGTAGACCATAAGTACTTCAGATAAAATGCCATTTATCCACCAAACAATCCAGTAAGATAGTTACTATTATGCTGGATTTGCTCATGTGGAAACTGAAATTCAAGAGTTGAGCAATTTTCCATATAGTTAGGAAGTGGCAGACTCTGCAGTTTAGGACTGACTCCAGACTCGGTGTTGTACAAACGCAAATGTTTCTAGAACTTATTCTTTGGAGCGTGAGTTTCTGTGTATGCAATGCAAGAAGCTGAGAATTGACTTACCTCAATTAATAATTGATTAAGCGGGTCCAGTGGCTTGTGTGCTCAAATGGCTAATCTCACTAACAAAAATTCGAGCTGAAAAGAGGTGATTCTTGATCAAAATCAAATGAACAAAACCCCAAACCTAACTTATTCCCTCAAAAAAATAAATAATTTAAACTTCCACACCACTTTTGTGTAGTACCTGTCTCTCTGGCTGATTTTATTTTTTAGAAAGGCTAGAAACTATGATTTCCCAAGTAGAACCTCAGTTGGGAGCAGAACAGAAAGGTAGTGAGGTCAAGAACCCATCATCCCTAGGAACAGTGCCTGTGCTGGACTATCCAACCTCAACCACTGCTAACTGAAGTCACTTCACCTCTCTGTTCCACTTTTTGTCTCCTGAAAAATAGAGGTGGGATTAAGGAGTTGGAAAATGGATGCACTATAACTTAGGGAAAGACTATAAAGAATTTACTTCCCTAACTTAACAATATAACTCAGGGAGAATGGAATTAGGCATGTAAATATATGGGGTGGAGGGGTGGAGTGGAACATGGGAACTGAACTTCCACATGGAATTATGCCCCTTCGTGGGATAATCTACATAAATATGCCTATAATCAAACTTATAATTGGGGGTATGGTCATTGAATTTTAGGAGCTTCAGAATTGCAAAGGGATAGACAGGAAAGGTGTGGGGGGTGTAGTATTTGTATTTAAGATATACTCTTCCCCTATGTCAACACTCTTATATTGAATCCTACTCTCTGAAGGCCCAATGAGATAACATATGTTAATGGTAGCACTCATAGGTGAGGAAAATGAATTTCAGGTTGCTGGAAAGACTTCTTAAGGCCTCACCACTAGAATGTGCCAGAAGATATTCAAAGCCCTGCCTACTTGGTGCCAATGTTATTTTACTATACTATGCTATCAATGACTCATCAACCAGTTTCCTTTGCTAAGTCCTAGAAATTCTCGTATTAATAAGTCATTCACTTTCTCATCCATTTATGTGTTTACTCATAGGTAGCAACTGAACACTTGGTAGGTCTAAAACACTGTCAAATATTCTTGCTATGTTCACTTCCAAATTCCATATAGACAGCAGATACCTTTGTCTCCTAACAGTAATTAGAATCTGCTTTTTCATGACACTGGTCTGGAAAGCAGGAGACAGGCATGCAATTATGCTATCTTTCCCTTGTCAAGGGTGCTTCATCAAGAGGCATTCAGAATGTCATTGGGGACTTACAGCAGGAGGCATTGAATGGAAAGTAGTCCTTTCTCCTCCCAGTTAAGGTCTGCAGCAGTTCTAGGATAGAACCCTCAGCCTACTTGAAAGAGCTTCTTCATTTTATCTTCATATTCTGTTTTTTTTTTCTGCCTCTCACCATAATTCTATTTCTGCTTCTAACAGAAGTTTCTAAGCTAGAAATGCTTAATTCTCTTATTCATCTGAGGAAGTTATATGTGTATTGCTTGGAATTTCTAGATCTTATAATTGAGCTCAGATTTGCCCCTTCTCTCTCAGACTCCCTTCGTCTCTCATTCACAGAAACTTTCCTCTTTTTTGGTCACTCAGGTTAGATATTTTTACTCCTTGAATTTTTGATCTGGTTTTTAGACTTTCTTTTCTTCTTTTTATTACCCTTCAAAGCTTTTGAACTTAGTCTACTGCTTTTGATGTCAAATCCTCAATTTCTGTCAAAGACTTCTTTTCCTCTTTATCTCTGGCCCATTTGCTTGGTCACCAGTTAGAAGGGAAGTCACTTCCTCTTGAAGTCATACTTCCTGGCTTCATTTATTATGTAGCAAATATATGTAGAGTATTCATGAGTTTTATAAGGCAGGGCAGGAAAATATGTACCTTACCTAAAAATACATGAAAATAAATACTTGCAAAATGATGCTAGTGTCTACAACAAAATACATGGTGTACTGTGGGCACAAAGGAGGAAATGATGAACTGAGTGACTGGTAAAAGATAGCTTTATTTTAAAAAAAACCTTTGAACTGGATTTTGAAAGACAGAAAAGAGTTTCCTAAGGAATGAAATAGGAAAAGTATTTCAGAGACAGTGAATGTCATATACAAAGCCCTAGTTGCTTGATGTACTCACTGTGTAGTATTCAAATAGTAGTGCTCCAAGGAAGTAAGGCTTATGAAGACTAGATGATGGAATATTTGGATGCCTTGTCAAGGGGATGCTGGATTTTTTTTCCGGTCATGGGGCTTGAACTCTGGGCCTGGGCGCTGTCCTTGAGCTCTTCAGCTCAGGCAAGCACCCTACCACTTGATCCACAGCACCACTTGCAGTTTTCTGGTGGTTAATTGGAGATAAGAGTCTCACAGGCTTTCCTTGCCTGGACCGACTTTGAACTGTGATCCTCAGATCTCAGCCTCTGAGTAGCTAGAATTACAGGCGTGAGCTACCAGTGCCCAGCTGGGATGTTGATTTTATCTTGAAGGGCATGGAGGATCAGGGAAGACTTTTAAGAAAGAGCTGTAACAGTCAGAGGTTTAAAAAGATCAACTAAATCATAACAAAGAGAATGTACAGGATGGCAAAGGATAAGAGATGATTGTAATATTATAAGCAACAAAGGAAGGCTTAAACAAAAGCAATGGCAGTATGATGGAACAGGCTTGGTTTGAGTGGGAGAGCACTAGCCATTAGTGGCAAAAGCCAAGCAAGAAATATTAGATTCAAGCCCTTGCACCAGTGAAAGAGAGAGAGAAGGAGAAAGAGAGGGGGGAAGGAGAGAGGGAGAAAATTAAATTACAGTATTAAGAGATAGAGTTGATTGGATATGGTGAATGAGGTAAGTTTCTGATCAAGGTAGCCAGATGAGCACTGATGACATTTGTTGAATGGAGACAATAGGGGAGGAATAGTTTAGGGAGGTGAGGTTCAGGATAAGGATATTGCTTGGACATGTTCATTCTGTTTTGCAGCAGTGGTTGAAGGACTTCAGGTCACTGTGCCTGACAAGAAGAAGGTGGCCATGCTCTTCCAGCCCACTGTACTTCGTTGCCACTTTTCTACATCCTCCCATCAGCCTGCCGTCATACAGTGGAAGTTCAAGTCCTACTGCCAGGATCGTATGGGGGAATCCTTGGGCATGTCCTCTCTCCGGACCCAATCTCTCAGCAAGAGGAACTTGGAATGGGACCCCTACTTGGATTGTTTAGACAGCAGGAGGACTGTTCGCGTGGTGGCTTCAAAACAGGGCTCAACTGTTACCCTGGGGGATTTCTACAGGGGCAGAGAGATCACAATTGTTCACGGTACTAATGACCTTGTTTTTGAGTCTGTGGGGACAGGCAGGTGGTTAGCTCCATTCTGCCCAGACAGAAGATGATGTCAGCTTCTTAGTCCATCTTCCATAATGCTTCAAGAAGTGGTTATAGGAGATGGGAGCATCAAGATACCTAGCTATTGCTTTGACTGCATGGTGGGAGAAGGAAGTTAGACAGTGTAGTATCTAAGGAAAACAGAAGAGCTCCAGAATAGTCTTTCCCAAGCCTGACCTTGAGTATCAGAGATTGTTTTCAGAATGAAATTGAAATGGTTTCTTGTGAAAGAACTTTGGTCAAACTTCCCTACACCTTGACATTACTTTTATGGCTTTTCCCAAGCCTGACAAGCAGACTTTCCTAAGAAATTCCTTTACTGGGAGAAAGATTGTGTACATGCAGGTAGATTGATGGCTTGAGCCCTAGGAACACTGTATAAATTCCACATTCTTTCCCACTTCCTAAACATTTAGGTAAGGAAAGCTAAGAATCTGATATGACTTACCTGATTATTCAAATTTTGAAGTATTCCTATGAAATCAGCTTATTTCCAGGCATCCAGAATTATTTTGGGATTTATCTGGCTTGATTTATCTGGTCATCTACTTATGAAACTGGACCAGAACTAGACCTGTGGCTGTGGTCTAATTCTCTTGCCTGAGGAATGCTGATTTTGTTACTATTTTGCAGTTTTTATTTGCAATAAAGCAAACATCTGTCAACTACCATCTAAAGAACGCTGCAAACACCCCAGAAGGGCTACCTCCTTCCAGTCCCCATTGTCTAATGCTTTCCTTTCAGTTTTAGGACTGGGTCCTTCTTTTTGTGATAACAGATGCAGATCTTCAGATTGGAAAACTCATGTGGGGAGATAGTGGACTGTATTACTGTATCATCACCACCCCTGATGACCTGGAGGGAAAAAATGAGGACTCTGTGGAATTGTTGGTGTTGGGTAAGTGAAAATGAAAGAAAACAGTTTCATATTAGCCTGCTTGCTTTGTGCCCCTCTGCTCACATCTCTCTTCCCTGCCTATATGGCAGATCACATACTCTCTGACTATTGGGCAGACAAAATTCTGTTTAAGAACATGCTCTTTGTTGGTAGTACCTGTATTTATTATGTCGGGTCTTGAAGGCCCCTTTTGAGCATAGTCTCAGTTTTTTCTTCTGCTTTCTTCTCCTTTCCACATTCACCTTTAGCCCTGATTCCCCTCTTATTCTTCATTGCCGTTTTTATATGCGAATTGTTAGAGAAAATGTCAGAGGCCTTTGAGGTAGGAAGAAACTCAAGAGAGAGGTAAGACTTCATCTTTAGAGACCTCAGGAATCTTTCCCACTCAATTACCCCCACTTAAGACAAGCCATAAGATAAGATGGCTGTAAACTGGAGAGTCCAGTAACAAAAGGCACCCAATGAAAAGAACTGTTTAGGAGATGTGCTAGTGTTTAGTTGGAAGTGTCTAAGTTATTGTTAAAACAAAGACATCTAATCCTTATTAATGTTAATTTCTTCATAGCAGAAAATTCCTTCGTCTTGGCTACTTTTCCTCTTTTGTGGCTTAGAGTGTTAGGAATAAATGGCCATCTTTTAAGTAAATGGAAATTGAGTGCATACTTTGTGCTCCATAAATGTTGGTTGAATTAAACATTTACAATAAAATAAACTGAATCAATTGTAGGAGAAAAAGTAGCTGAGAATGTGTATTTTCTTTTTCAAAGGAAGTTACATTTTTTGTAGCTTTAAAAAAAAACCAAGATGACAGTAATTGGAGAATATGTAAGGGTAATTTGTTTTAAAAACAAACAAAGTTGAAGATAAATTTTTATACTTTGTGAGAAACTGAATTCCTATCGATAAAGTGACATTTTCTGTTTAGAATTTTTAGTTCTAGTGTTTGTTGGGACTAGCAAAATAAAGATTCTGACAAGTTTGGTTTATATTTTATAAACTGGACTAAGTTAATATTGGTCTACCTTATTAGAATGCTGACTTAAATCAAGCATATTCTTTAGATCTTTGGACTTGCAAAAACAAGGAAATAGAACAAATATTCAAAATGAAATACAAAAGTAAAAGGCTTATATTGACATTATAAGCTAATGTAGGGGGGTTGCATTTAAGATCTGCTTTAGATCTGTAAACCATAGGAATTCAAAAAAATAAATTTTTGCCTAATCACTCAACTCTAATAGCCAAGTTTGCAGGAACAAGTGGCTCATTGAGCCTGCAGTTAGCTAATTGGGAATACAGCTATTTGGCTGGGGCAGCCATTTGCAGAAAAGTAATTGTGCAGGAAAAGGAGGCCAGGTAAAAAATCACTGTAAATAATTTTGTCCCAGTTATTCTGTGAACATGGGTAATGGATAGAGTGAAAGCTTTGTCATTGGAAGATGTGCTGAATATATAGTAGGTATGGATCAAAACATATACACTTGAGCCTGGTGCTGGTGGCTCACACCTGTAATCCCAGCTATCCCTGTCAGCCCAGGTAGGAAAGTCTGTGAGACTCTTATCTCCAGTTAACCACCAGAAAACCAGAAGTGGAGCGGTGGCTTGAGTACTAGAATGCTAGCCTTGAGCAACAAAGTTCAGGGATACAACCCAGGCCCTGAGTTCAAGCTCTATAACTGACAACTGACAATAAAAAATACACTTGAAGTTGGGTGGAAGAGGCTATTCTTAGGGTTAAAAGGAGCTAATAGCTGGGAGGTGAAAGGAAGTCTTGGATGTCTATGGTCAGTAGTGATGGGAGTTAAGATGGAAAACAGAAGTTAGTGTTGTGCTGAAAAGAATTGGGAATGAAAACTAAGGAGGCTGCAAATCAAACACAGTGCAGTAAAAGCCATGCACTCAACAAGCTTGTCTGAAACTATCTATGCTACTTCTGAGGAAAAAATATAATTCTGCTATGTTCTACATTAATTAAAATGATCAAAATGTGATAAATTTAGCAGGAAAGCTTTTTAGGGTAACACCACTACCTTGTATTACTTATTTAAAGAGGTTAATTTGAGACATATGAACATAAAGTACTAAATACAAAATTCGGAGTCTTCTTTGTCTTAACACCCCCTTTATAAAATTTTACACTATATTGTCACAGTTTTAGCTATATTCTGCACATCTGTTTGTTGGGTATTTTTTTAGTGTGAGACCAGGAGAGCAACCCGATTTCTGAAGTAAAGCCCAAAGCAATGGAGCCATCAGTAGGAACATAACTGGGATCCACAGTTTACTAATTACAACATCTGAGCCACTGGTCCAGTCACTGAATTTTACATGGGGACTTACTCTGTGAAAAAGGATTTACAATAGAGATCATGGGGGAATGTCTCTGAATAGTTGAAGTGAAATTCGGTATTTGAGGGATTGGAAACATACTTTGACTGGGCAGAACTTAACAAGAGTAGAAATTAGAAGAAGAGGGGTCATGTAAAGAAAGAACTGTTTACTGTAGGCATCTAGAGATGGAATGAATGTTCTTGGGAGAGGACTAAGCTATCTTTAAGCTTTATTTTAACTCTAAAATTACTAGATTAAAACCAGGGTGAATGATGCTCACTTTCAGGGCAGCCAGAAACCTGAAACTATGGTCTTGTGCAAGAGATCAGGGATTTTGGACCAATCTCACAAAAATTAAGGAAAGGAAGTCTTGATGGTGAGCCAGCACTTTAACTAATCTTGGAGCTGATCACAAAACAGGGAGCTGAAAACCGGTTAGAATTTCTGATGAATTAGTAATGGATTAAAGAGATAAATTAGGAGCAAAGTTAAGAAGAATTTAGTTTTCACATTATACTTACAAAGATGAGGATGTGAGAATTAACAGGATAAGATGAAGTGTTGTATATGTAAGACTGAGAATTTTGGATTTCATCTTAAGAGTCTGGAGGATCCAGTGAAGAAACCTTAACAGAGGAATGAGATTATATCTCAGGGCCCAAATATAACCAGGGCAGAGGATGCATCAAGGAAAAGAGATCCAGAGTAGGGGATCAGATGTGGGGCTGCTATAACAGTACGAGTGAAAGTACAAGATTCTAAACTAGAGTAGGGAATTGAGAGAAGACAGCATAAAATACTCTGGGGTGGAAGTAATATATAAATAAGGAAATGAGAGACAGAGGTTACCATGATTCTGACTGGCTAGGCAGTCAGCTATTGCATCAATTCAAAAGAGGACACAGGTAGGAAAGAAGGGCAGGGAGACAGGAGGATGAGTTTTATGTTTAGTATGTTGAATATAAGATGTCCTTGGGACATCAAGATAGGGAAATTTTGCTGATGGTTGGAGATGTAGGTCTGGAATTCAGTGGAGAATGAAGATCAGAGATAATAGATTTGAGAACGATGGCCAATAGGCAAAGCCTTGAAAATAGATGAGTCACCCAGGAAGATGATTTAAATTGAACACGAACAGAAGAGAACCTTTTGATCTTCTATATAGTGAATGGTAACTTTGGTATAGCATATGTACTTATTTTTGTTTCCTATACAAAACTGGTGAAAGTTAATAGCATTGGACCGTGAGCTTTGCAGGGTCAAGGAGCTCCTATTCATGTTTATATCTGCAGTACATTTGGAATAAAGATACTTCAGTGTTTTTAGATAAATGGATAGAATCTGTAATACTTAATTCCTCTTCGATGTTATTTAGTGTTGAATATGCATTGTGATATTTTAAGTGCTAATATGGTAAATATGTATAATCTCAAGTGAGATAACATGGTTTAATCTCATTGGTCATTGTTCTTTGTTATTTCAGTTATGAATAGTGCTATATCCATCAGGGCGTATGGTTGAAAACATCAGAAATAACCTTTGGAGGAATTCATTGAAAGGCTATCAAAATGGAAAGTAAGGTTATGGAATTTGTTTTAGGAAAAGATAGTATATCAGAGTATCATGGGGTGGTCTAATACACTCTATTAGCTACATAAAAATGACCCCCAAAATTTCAGTGGCTACCACACTAAACATTCATTACTTCATCTTGTTGTATGTCACATGTAGGTTAGGAGGTTCATCTGAGTAGCTCCCTGCCAAGCAGCAATTTAGGGTTCTAGACTTCTCCATTCTTTGGATCTGCTGTGTTGGAGACCTTTGTTTCCCCAGCTGAGAGAGGCGGGGTAAGGAGGGAGAGAGGAAGAGAATGGGAGGGGGAGAAAGGGGAAGAGACAGAGGAGAACGTGAGCAGAGATGGGCAGATGGACACAGACAGAGATTTTAGGAGGCAGATCTGGTAGTGGACATGTAATACTTCTAAACTTTTGTATGTGCCTGGGGAAGAAATAAAAAGCATCACTGCCCTGACAGAGACGCTCCAGGGCTCAAGGGACAGTACCATTAGGGTTTCATTTTAGAAAAAAACAAACTATTTTCCATTCTTATGCTTTCCCACTAAAGAATCAGCCACAAGAGAGACAGCCCAATTGGCCCATTTTGGTCAATGGTCCACTGCTTAGCCTTGGGAGATCCAGAACTCTTGGTTGATAGTCCCTCAAGAGAAGTCCACATGGAGAATTGGTATAATAAAAGAAAAGATAAATGTGGCATGCAAGAAGAAGTAATGTCTATATCACTAATAAAACCATACACTGATAAATTATGGTACATAAACCATTTCTATAATAATGTAAGATAGGAGGGCAGATATTATTTCCCTTGTTTTCCAAATAAAGAAATTAATGTTCTAGTTCTCTGGTTATTCTCCCAGTATTTAAAAATTGTTGTTGGGTATGGTAGCCCGTGACTGTAATCCTAGCAGCTTGGGAGGTGGAGATCAGGTGGATTGCTGTTTGAGGACCACTTTGGCAAAGTTATCAAGATTCCACATCAACTAACAATCGAGGTGTATTGGTACATGCCCTTTGGTCTCAGCTGAGTGGGAGGCCCATAGGAGGATCACTGTCCAGGCTGTCTCTGAGCAAAAACCCTATCTCAAAGGTAAC